TGCTCAGAAAATTGTATGTCTGTATGTGGAAGAATAATACTGCTAGAACCTGTCGTACAATGTATACAAGAATTAGCTAAAAGGAAATTGAAGACTAGAAAGAATTAAAACTGTAAAACTCTGGAAAAGACATAGGACAGGCTTTCTGACACTGTCTTGGAATTGAAGTACAAGCAACAAAGGCAAGGGGGGCCACATCAAACTGAAAACCTCTGGGAGAAAATACTTGTAAACCAATAATCTGAGAAGGGGCTACTCTCCAAAACATTTAAGGAACTACTGCAGTTCATTAATTAAACAAGCAAAAACCAACCAAGTAGCCTGACTTTAAAAACTGGCAAAGGGCTCAAATGTAAATTTGTCCAGAGAGGATGAACAAACCACAGACACATCGATCAAAAGATGTTCCCCACTGCTAACCACCAGGGAAGTGCAAATCAATACATAGCGCCTACCACCTCACACCTGTCAGGGTGTCCACGAGAAAAAAAAAAATACAAACCCAAACAGAAAATAACCAATGTGACGTGAGCCTGTGGAGAAACGGGAAAAGCAAAGGAAGTCTCTATGGATGTTCCTGAAAGAATGACAGGACCAGTGTAGGTTCTAGCCGCCCCACTTCTAGATGTTTATCTCAACAAATTAAAATCAGGATATGTGTCCTCCTGTTTTTGGTGTGGCTTTACTTCTAATGCCAGCCTAAACGTCCTTAGTACATGGATGGAGACAGGAAAAGCAGTGCATACATATGATGGACTATTATGCAGGAAATCGTGCCACGTGCTATAGGAGGGATGGATCTTGGGCCTCCTGTGGCAAAGGCAAGGACTGCGTGACCCGATTCAGGGGGAGAGTGTCTGATCACATTCATCAGAGCCAGAAGTTGAATGGCCTGTGCTGAGGTCTGAGGGGAGGGAGAAGGGGTGCAGAGACACATTCAAGCAGGTCATCCCCTGCTTGAGGTTGCCCCTGGAACAGGTGAGGTACCCAGACATACCCACACTGTGCTGCACAAAGAGGGTGGAGCAACCATTCTGAGGTCCTACCAACCACGAGGAAGAGGGAATGCCAGCCCAGGAACAGAAGCGCACTGACAAACTTGTCTTCTGTCAAATTGGGAAGGGTTCATCCAGTCACGGCCACTGTGTAAGCTGGCAGGCACACCCGATTTTTTTTTTAAACACTTTGGAAATGACATCAAAGGGTCTTACACATGTTTATACTTTTTGATGTAATGATTTCGCTCATGGAAATCTAGTTCTGTGATATTATAGCAGCTAGATAATTGTTTATTACTTATAACAGTAAAAAAGGATTCTTCCAACTGTTGCATGAGGGCAGAGTGGCTAATAAATGCCAGATCTCTTGATGAAATGACAAAAGTGTTTGCCAAGTTTAACTGACAAGAGGAAATGGCTCATAAAAAGGCAAGGTAAGTGTTGAAAAGGGTAATTGTATCCAGTCTTTCAACTCTGTCAAAGTTAAAACTTAAAGAAAAAAATGAAAGAAACATGCAAAAACAATAAAAACATTACTTCTGGATAAGAAGAGAATGGGTGATTTAAACAAGATTTTGAAAAAGTCCCTTCCCTTTCATGTTTTCCAAACTTTTGATGAAATGTTCATATTACTCCCTGAATCAGAAAACAAAATGATACCATTTCCAAAATAAAATATGATCCCAGTTTCCATGAAACGACGTGCCTTGATCATCTTGTCCAAATACACATTTTCAAAGTTTTTATTCTTTGTAAACACAGATGCGTGAAATAAAAAAATGTTGTTACTGGACTGGTGCCGAGGGATAGTATGCCAAGCTTTTACCTGCAGCACTGGCATCTCATATGGGAGCAGGTCCAAGTCCTGGCCACCCTGCTTCCGGCCCAGCTCACCGTTTATGGGCTGGGAAAGCAGTGGAGAATGGCCCAAAGTTCTTGGGCCTCTCCACCCATGTGGGAGACCTGGAGGAAATTTCTGGCTCTTGTTTCTGATGGGCCTTTCAGCTATTTGAGGAGTGGTGAACTGGTGGATGAAAGATCTCTTTCTCTCCTTCTCTTCGTAAATTTGCCTTTCAACAAACAACAACAAAAAAATCTTTTTAACATTAAAAAAAGTTGAGTTACTAAAATGTAGATTCTTCATACAAAAATATGGCAAGTTCAGCCAATTTTATGGAAGTGTGATTAAGAAAAATGTTAAATTTCCCACTAAATCTTGTACTTCTCATACAAAAGAGCAGGACAGAATGAGGAGATAAATCAAAATAATGCCTCACCTTATTTACTTGTGAACCCATGCCTTCTGGCAGCCTAAGGAAGAGCCTCTCCCAGGGAGGATGTGCCCAGGGAGGGGGCAAACGTGTGATGCCAACAGGGGTGTCAGGGCCACCAGGACACCCAAACCCACCCTGGCCTTCAGTGAGGCTGGCAGATGGCATAGCCAGATTGTCCCACCGGCCTGGAGCTACAAACTAAAGCAATTACAACAAGGGGACAGATCCCTGCTACAGACAGATTCGGAGTATCACCTGGGGAGGGGGGTGTCGGATTCTAATTTTTGTTCAACTTGGGAGCTAGCTGATAGTTGATGAGGGAAAGGGTAGAGACCCCTGCAAAGACTTACATCACCAATTCTCCAAGTCCCCCAGTCCACCCCGCCGAGCCAAGCTCCCAGCCTTGCCATCTGATCCCGTCTGAGCACTCACTGTGTTTCCTTGAAACCTAACACAACCCAAGAGTGCGGATCGTGATGCCACCTCAAAATTAGCCTTGCGTTTGGGGATGTGGGGGGCATGCCGTGTTTAAAAGGGAAAGCAAAACATATACAAACAAGAAAGAAAACAGAAAGCTGACAGTGAATTGGTAACAAAGAACAGGGGAGTGTTTGCAAAATCACGGAGTTAAAAGCACACACCTAAATCATATGGTGACAGACGGAGAGGAGGGGCACGTGCTCCCTTGAGATGGCACTGGCCAGCAACCACGCCCATCCCCCTTTCCAGCTGCAAGCCGGCCTCTCCTATTCCTGCATCAGATCAATAGAATTTCCCTTCCCAGTGGGAAGCTTTCAGGGCACTGAGTGGTTCACAGAACTGATGGGCTTGTTAGCCCTGAGCCGCGCTGGATAAAAAGCCTCCGTTGATGCCACTGATAGAAACACTCCCTGTAAGCCGCACCTCCTGCAAGTCACTCTGGTAAACACTGCTCAACTGCGCGCAGAGACGCGGAGGGAGAGGAGAAAAGAGTTGTCCCTCTGAAAGTCAGGGGCTTCCCGGGGGTGGGGGGCTGTAGCGAGAACCCAGGGTCTTTCCACTCTGGGATGTCCCCTATGGGAAACTCTCAGCCTAGCATCTGGAACTGACTAGGAGGTTAATAAATATTTGTTTCCATCTCCCTAAGAGCAGATGCAGAGCACAGCGAGGAGGAAATGGAGCCAGAACTGTGTAATGCAATGCACAAAAGCACAGCATGCCGGGGAGGAGAGGGAGGAGGGGTTGGGGAAGGGACGTTGTGGTAGGAAGAGAGCCAGCCTGGAGAAGTCCCCCGACCCCAGAACTGTGCTCCTGCAGAGCGGTTCTGAGGGGGTCACACACCTGTGCGGCTGATCAGCACAGAGTCCGCTGGCATCCATTCATTAGGCAGAAATTCACACATTCACAGGGAGATCAGGAAAGAGAAAGAATTCAGGGCTTTAGCAAGGGATTGTTGGTTTAAACTACCGCAGATGTTAAAAACTCACAGAAAATGACAGAATATGCGAGGCATGCAACATGGCTATATTCGGGTTAAGTAAGGAATTTCTATGATTAGCTGATAATCAACTAACTGATCGAATCTACTCCTGACTTGCCAAGGATGTGGCTTTTGGGGGAGGAGGAGAATTTATTTCTAAAGCCATAATTAAAAACATCAGTTAGTAACCAAAGCAAAAAAAACTTGATGCGCCGTGACGCGTCGCGACAGCACAGTTGGCTCCTGGTGGGTAGCGTGTCACACAGAGTTCTCCAAAGTCCAACAGCAGGTTCCCACTGCAAGTATTATCATGAATTATCATCCTGTCTTATTCCTTAGGGTCATAGGCTGTTGGTTGTTTACACCTAGGGCAGCATGTATTTCTTTAAATACTTAACAGCCTTGAAAAGGAGAGACTGGCACAATAATAGGTAAGAGTTTCTACCCGGAGCTCAAAAGTTGAAACAATTTATGTTGTATGATGGAGAACAGCCGTCGGTAAACTCAGTTTTCAATAATTTAAAGCCACAGTAGTGACTACTTGAAAACATACTGCATTGATAACTCCTGGTGGTGCTAAAAGAACCCTTCCATTCACTGAAACATCCGGCCAGGTAGTTTCCTCTCAAATTCCTCAGGGGCCTCGAGCAGGGCACAGCTTAGATGGATCAGAGGTGAGTTGGAAAAAAAATTTTTTTTCCCTTTCCTTCCCCTCCAGCCCTGCAGCGCGCTGCTGAGGACACCCGGGGTGGCTCCGTCGTGCGCCTTGGCCGGGTGAGCCTAACACCTCCAGGGCGCTTCCAGGGACTTCGCACCCACGAACTAAACCCTGCGCTTTCCCAGAAACCGTGCAGCTGCGGGAAGAGGGGAATGCCCAGGTATGTAGGTGCGCGGACTCGGTGATAGCACGCAGGAACACACCCACCTCTTCCACCCTCACCCCGATTTCCAGTCGGGGAAGCCCGGCCGACGCGCTTCCGCGAGCTGCGCCCGAGAAAGAGCGGCTGGCCTCAGGACCCCACACTCCAAATTTAGGGAAGAGAGCGAGCAGAGGAAAAAAAAAAAAAAAAAAACAGAGCTGCTCCTTTAAGAACTTCCTTTTCCCTTTTACTCTATGTTTACATAACACGGGGGCCGGCGGCCGGGGGGCGGGGAGTGGGCGCGGGCGGACCCCGCGCCGGGGAGGGGCGCCCCGCGGGCCGAGGGGCGGGGCGGCTCCCACCTGCCCGCCCCGCGCGCGGCCCCCGCCCCTCCCGCGCTCGCTCTTCGGCTCGTTCTCTCGCTCGCTCCCTCCCGCGGGGCTTCGGCGACGGCGTCGGCGGCACGGGCAGGTCCGCCCGGGCCCCGGTCCCATTTGTTGCTCGGAGCGGCCGCTGCGTGCGGAAGCTCCGGAGAGCCCGGCGGGGCAGCCGCGCAGCCACGAAGCAGCAGCCGTGGGACCGGCAGCCCCGCGCCCCCTTTGGCACCGTGCCCTTCCCCGGGGCGCCCCCCTTTCTCGGGATGGGATTGTAGCGGCGGCACGGACTCGGCGGGGATCGCGGTGGAGACGGTGGCGGCGGCCGAGCGGGACTCCATGTTTTCCCCCGACCCGGAGGAACCGTGCGCCCCCAATAAGGAGGCGGTGAAATACGGGGAGCTGGTGGTCCTGGGGTGAGTTTGGAGGCAGTGGGGGGAACCTTGGCCCGGGGCCGCGGGTCGGGCGGCGCGACGGTTGGGAGAACTCGGGGGCGGGGGCACGGAGGACCGTTGGGGAGCTCTCGAGGGGAGGTGGAGGGAACCGGGCTCCGGGCGCGGGATGCCCTCCATCGGGCGCGCGGGGCGCTGCGGAGGGCGCCGGGATGTGCCGGGCGCGCGGAGGAAGTGAAAGCCGCGGCGGGAGCGGGCGTGGGGGGGGGTGGTGTTCGGCCGCTTGGCAAGGGCAGGAGGCCTGACTTCCCACGCGCTGCGTGCAGCAAGCAACCCCGGGTGCAGGCGCAGCCCACGCGGACACCTTGCGGGAGGGATCCCGTGTGTGTGTGTGTGTGTGTGTGTGTCGGGGGGTGCTCTGCAGACCCTGGGCCTCGGCTCCGCTCCCAGCCTCCCAACTCGGCGCGCGGTGTTCTGTGGGCTCGAGCCGCGAGGACCACGGGACTGCGGCCCGTGTGCGCATTGTTATGGTGATCGCCGCCACGGGCAGCCACGGGCAGCCCAGGGCAGTGTGAACTGCCTGTGACCCGGGCGGGCCCTGCGCTTTCCCCCACGCACCCAGAGGTGGAGCGGGGGAGTCCGCATCCCCCGCGGGGCTGCTCCCGCAGCGTCCGGTGCAGGGAGAGGGGGGGTCCCCGGGCTCGGTCTCTCCATGCCCCAGGCCGGCGGGAAGCGGCGCCAGCCTTGCCACCCGGGCTCAGGGGGGCTCCCGCTCCGCTGGTGAAAATCCACTTTTAAAAGATGGTAATTATCTACCAAGGCGAAGCGGCAGCAATTAGAGACTTCATCTACTTCCTGAGTTTTCCTTGTGACATGTCTATTGTTTACCCCGCGGTGAGCCAGGAGAGAGGCTTCCCGGGATTAAAGCTCTGGCAAAGTGGGCAGCGAACACGCCAAGCCGAGCCGGGGCGGGGGCGGGGTGCGCGCGTGAAAACTAGCAGACGGCGGCGACACGGGTTCAGTGCTGCAGAGATGGGGTTCCCTTCCAGTCTCCTCTCCCCCCTCCACCTCCCACTTTGGGCACGTGGCCCCTGGGGACCTGCGCTTTTTGTCCTCCTCTTTTTCAAGACCTGGGAGCCTCCTGGGCGCCCAGAGGTGCGTGCCACACAATGACCAGTTTCACGGAAAAAAAAAAACCAACCAAAAAAACAAAACAAAACAAAACAAAAAAAACTAGCTCAGGAAACTTCGATAAGCTATTCTGGACAACTAAGTACCCGTACCTGATATAAGTGTTGACTTAAAGAATCATTGTAAAGGGAGGAGGTTTTTAAGAAAAGTTTCTAGACTCAGTTTGCTTCCCGGGCTCGGTCACTCTGCTGTGCTGGTGGTGGTCAGTGGGCACGGAACCAGAAGTGTCACTACCTTGCTGACGACGCTATCTGCTCACCTGCCTCTTAATGGCACTTTGTTGCAAGGACCAATGTCAAGGTTGGGTGGCAGGAGGCATTTGGGTGGGTGTAGGGATGGGAAGAGACACCGATTTCCTCTGCCTTAAGGTGTAGCAACAGCGTTTGTTTTTTCTTTTTAATGTGAAGTGTGTGTGTGTGTGTGTGTGTGTGTGTGTGTGTGTGTGTGTGTGTGTCTGGCTCCAAGGTACCTTTTACTCTGGATCTTGACCCAGAGGCTTACCTTAGGCCAGGACGTGGATGCCCTGATTGGCTTAAGGTTGTGATGCTGCCACCACACACTGTGATGGGGAGAAGCAGTGAAGAGTGCGGGCTGGGAGAGGTTTTGTCTTCCAGGCTGGATGCACAAGGGGGCCAGGAGCCACAGAAGGGGTTTCTGGCCCATTCGGCCATCACTGCAGGCTTGCTTGGAAGTCTGTAGGTAGTATGCACACGCCCCGCACAGGCTTGGCAATGTGCTAGTGTCTTCCAGGAAACAAGTACAACACTGTGGGTCCCTGGGCAGTGCTTCAGACCCCGCCCATGGGGGTTCCTGGAGCACTTGCAGTACAGCAGTGCCCTTGAGGCCTTGGTGACCCAAGGGTGAACCTGGACAGCAGGCACAGAGCAGGGGATGTGGGTGAGCCGAAGAGCGAGAGACAAGGTGTGCTGTTGCCAGATTGGAACCACAAGGTCATTAACAGAGAGGGAACTGTCTTCAGGCATGCAGGAAGTCAGTGTACGCACAGCCCTCTTTTTCAACCATATTCGTGGGGAACCCGAGGCTCCCAGAAGGAAAGGGGTTTTGCTCAAGTTCATGGTTGTCGCAGGGTGTTGGAGATGAGTTCGTTTTGCTGCCTCTTGCTTGGCGACCAGGAAGGGTCTGCGACGAAGGATGCTGAGAGAGGATTATTTCTCTTGAGCGTGTGGAGCACCTGCATGAGAGTGGGTAAAGTGCTGAGCAAGCAGGTGGATTGTGAGAGGTCCTTGTTAGGTCACACCCTACCTCCAGGACTTGGGGCACCCGCTCCCCTCTTGCAGCGGCATACCCCTTCCGTTACAGGCTCAGGCTGAAATCTTTCCTGAAGTTGAAAGAATGGCCGATGTTGATAGAAGTTTTTGCTTGTCAAAAGGCCTTTATTAAACAAACAAACAAAAAGAGGTGAGTGACTGTTCTCTCTCTGTCTCTCTCTCTCTCTGCTTTGTTCTGTGGGCTGACCTCAGAGCTGTCTGTGTGAGGGCCACCAACGGCTTTCTGGAAGCACTGGTGGCGTGCAATTGTCTCCTGCCTCCAGCCTCTTGGTGTCATAGCGCAGTGGCCACCCTGTGGTGCATGTGGGCTAGCAGGGAATGCAGAAACGAACCAAATGTCTGTCTAACCCTCAAACCTTTTTTTTTTTCTTGCTCTAAGTTTAAAACTTGGCTGAAGGTTTTAATTTGGGGAAGTGGCTCAGGATTAGAGAGACAGAGAAAGGAGGGAGAGGACAGATTGCCCTATGGGATGGGAAAAGTCTGAATTGAAGTCCTGCCCTCTTGGCTTTGGCCTTGTCGTTCGCCTTGGTTCCTAGCTCCCTCCGTCTGTGTGATCAGCAGTAACAGAGTCGCACTGGACTAGGCCATCCTCAGGGACTCTTGCCCCGTGCACTCATTTTGTTGGTTGATTCTAATGTAGAAAATGTCCCTATGTTAGATACTGTGATGTTAGTGTGTGTGTGTCTGTGTGTATTCTTTTTTTAAAATTAATTAATTAATTTGGTTACATGCAGAGAGGAGTTACAGAAAGAAAGAGCTTCTGTGCGCTGCTACACTCCCCAAGGAGCTGCAACCTGTGTGTATTCTTGAAGTGATGGTGCAGATGAGAGCAGATCCTGAGCTTTAATAAGAGACAAGACCGCTGCTTGTGATTCTTGTGATGTGTCCCAGTCAGGCTTTGTAAGAAAGTTGGGCTCACTGGTGTTAGAGTACACGCAAGGGTGTTCCAACTTGGTCAAACTTGTGCTGTTTGCAGTTTAGAGAAGATGGTGATATTCTGAAACCAGGCTGAGTGGGCTGAACCAGCCTAATGATGTGTAGGCCCTCAGGCCATCCTGGCTGGGTCCCTGTGTCCAGGGCCCATGGTTCCTAGCCTGGCACAGGGCTCCGTTCCTCAGGCTGCCCTGGCTGGGTTCAGTGGGCAGCATGACACTCCGTGGTAACTGATGGCCTGTGGTATTGACTGGAGATACCTGGCTTGCTCTCGGTTCCCGGTTCCCATCACTCCACAGTTTGAGTAGGTGGCAGGTGTTCCGAGGCTTTGTGTTTTTAGGTGATGCTTCGCCATGAGTTTCTGCTGTGTGTCTCAGCCAAGGGCTGGTAACCCAGGATCCGCAGGAGGAATTCCAGCACCCCTTCGACCAGGACCAGTATGGGAGAAAAGTGCATTATTTATTCTTACAGCGCTCAAGCTGAGGACCCAGCATCCTGCACCCTGAGGCTAAGCAGCAAAAAGTCTTGCTGCGAGATGGGCCATCCAGTGTCTTAGTCCAGATGTGCACATATGGTCTTACTGGCATTGACAACTGCTGTGGTGGCTAAATGGATCCGATGTCATTGGCAGTAATCCTTTATATGTTGGCTTAAGTCATTTAAAAACATGGCTCTGAGAAGGGCCTGGTGGGCTTCGCCCGCCCGACTGCCAACAAGCCCTTGGCCCTGGAGGTGGTTTGGAGCTGAGTGTGGATAATGAGCTGTGGATGGGTCCTGGAGAGGGGGCGGGTCCTGGCTTTGTTGCTTTGGGAGATTGGGCATTCCCTCAGATAACAACGAAATGGTGCTTGTGGAGCTTGGGGACGTGAGTGTCCCCAGCTGGTGTGTGCTGTTGCCTGTCATTCCTTAGCACCCTAGGCCTCTGCCCAGCCCAGGGCCCACCCATCGGAGGTCCCCAGAAAGCCTTCAAATTCAGCCCCATTGCTTTTCTTTCTTTCACCCTTCACTCTGTTTTAGACCCAGACACTTCTAACACTAGTATGTTTTCAAGACTGAGAGCCCTTTGATATTTTTTTTCTCCCCTGTTAAATAAAACAAGATCTTAGCGTCACTCAGCTTGTGGGGTGATGTGCAGGGCTGGGCCCTGAGGGTGTGGGCTCAGGCTGCCACTGCAGGCTGCCAAGGCCAGGGATGTGGCTGGCTTTGGGTTGCTATATTTGCCTTTGCTAACTTTAGCCTTGTTTGGGGTGTGTGGCTGTCTGCGCTGCCCCGCGGTTTCTGGTCTGGCTTTTCCCAGTCTCGTTTGCCGTCCCTGCAATGCATGGGCCGAGACCGAAGCCCACACCAGCACTTTGCACTCCTGGGTGTATTTCCCCACATGCTGACAGTGTGGGTGCTGCTCTCCACCAGATAACCTAACACCAGCTTGACATGGCTCCCAGCAGTTTTTACCAGATGTGTCTTATTCAGAGGAGGACATGTGTGCGGGAAGGCCGCAGTAGCATCGCATGACAGGTGCTGCGGTCACAGGAGCCCAGCGCTGTCCCACAGGGACTAGTGGCTTTGCCTCTGCTGTGTGTGTGGCAGGTAGGAGTGTGACCTCGCTGAAGT